GATGTTGATGGAAGTGGAGGTAAACCAAGTAGAGTTATAGAGTTGGTACAATTCCTTATGTTAGAGAATTCTGAAAATATGTAAGTACAGACTCTAGATAAACAGGCTCTATTTGTTGCCACACCTTTGGCAATTTGCCAAAAATCCTGTCTGGGTGCTCACTTCTCATGTAGGTGGTGCTAGACAAGGAGGCAGCTTGATTTATAGTAAATTAATTGGGGGCCAAGCCCACATTTCATTGCTTATGTGCAAATGGCCACACTTCTGTTTGTGAGGAATTTTCCTCTTTCTAACTGATCATGCCGTGAGGTAGGATTATTGGATTCTTTTGGTGATACAACAAAGCTTTGAGGTCAGTGATTGCTTTTAGGCTTTTTTGATTAATTTGCAAACACTACGGGAAGGTCTCTGAGTTTGCCAATTATCTGAGATTCACATTGTGTCTAATGGAACACTGAATTTCCCTTTCATATTGTGAAAGTGGAACTACTGCTGAAAAGGACACAATTATACTTGAGGTGGGGATGAAAAGGCAGTTTCAGACACCTGCAACCCAACTTCACAGCCATTTTTCTTAATTCATTTGTTATACATTTGTTTCATATTTTAAGATCTGTCCTTACCCACTTCTGATCAATACTTGGTCAGACTCCTTAAATACATCCATGGTTTGCCCTAGGGCCAATACAGTCCAGTTATTTAATGCCTTTGGTATCATCATCTATTAAATCAGAACTGGCTCTCCCAGCAAAATCCCTGCAGCAATATGAGATCCTTGATCACTCTCTATGTACTATAATCCTAAAGGAAAGAATATAATCGAGTAAGAGTTTGGCAAATGCCTTTGGTTTAAACTTTAGGTAACCAGGTAAGAGTTACTAACTAGAACAGAGAATGTATCTGTTTTGCTTATCAGTATATAACATAAAAGTTATAGTTTTTTATGTTATAGCAGAACCTAAAGTGGGTACTTAATAAATGGTTGTAGAATGAATGAATATACAGAAAAGGCCACTTGATTGAGGTTTTACTTTATGCTTCTTTTCAAGGTATATCCTACGTGTAAAACTATATATTACTTCAGGGTCAAATGCAATTATCAGGAAGTCTTCATTGGAAACAGTGTTATTGACTTTTAGAGTGAGCAGGGTTTTTCAAGATCATCTCACTCCAATGTTCCTTATGTAAAGTAAGGAGAAGAAGAATCATAGGCATTAAATTATTCAAATTACTTTTTAAATAATAAAGATTTCACAACCATCTCTCAAAAAGTGAAAACATTCATCTTTTTTGGAAACATCATAATTTTGAGGATATACGTCAACTGATAAAAGAAACGGAAAGAGAGCACAAGCCACCCCACTGCCCCGTGTAATGACTGCATGCCAGGCATAAGTGGGCTGTTCACGAGCGGCGGGTTCCACCTACTGTAAGAACACAGAAATCTAGTTGCATGACCCTTGGTTTTTCTCATGGTGGAGTAAAATGTGTGAGCAACCTCTAGCCTTCAGTGCTATTTTGCAAAAATATTGTTTTATGCCAAAAGACAGTAAAGATCAAGTTTGTTCTTGTTTAAAGTTACTGGGGTAAAATTATGAATCAAAATCTGGCACTTCCATGTTTAATTAATAAGGTATTAGTAGAGTCCCTAGAGATGCTTCGCAAGTAATCAATTTCAGGATTTATAATTAATGAATATGTGTGAAAAAAATTTCTGAAAAGTCTCCACTGAAAAGCATTCATTTTGATATGAAAACAATTGATTTTGTTTCCAGCTATCTTAAGCTATTTTGATCTGTTCTATAAAATAATTGGTGTATTATTAATGGAAGAAAACTAGATAAAGTAAATAATACTAGTGTCCAAAATAATAAATATTAATTTAAGAAAAAAGTGAAGACTCTGAATCAATAATTGATCACAAATTCAACAAATACTCAAAAAGTAGTTTCAGCTTTAAGTTTCTTTTCAGAGTATTTTTCTGCAGATGAGTGGGCCAAACTGTCCATTGGATTTAATGAGCTGAAGATGCATTTTATTTTATCAGAGCCAGATACAAACAGTTTGAAAAATCTAATTTGTAATTTTGTTATATGTTCAATCACCTTAAATAGCTCAGTGGACCACATTTACATAAATTCTTCCACTTTTTCTTGTGGTGTAGAGAAAATCAATATACTTGAAACTACATTTTCAAATGTAGTTTTGAAACTCATGTTTGAAATGTTTGAATGAGTATATGACTAACTGCTATTCTAAACAGCAACATTTATAAGAACTAATTGGTTTATGGCATAACAATAATTTGGAAAGCATGTACAGAAGATGAAGTGCTTCCCTAACCACTGTTGTCCATTAACATATTTTGAGAGAAAATTGTGTGAGCTATTTTCATTATATTTTTGAAAACTGATAGAAATTAAAATGTCAACAAAGTAATTACTGACAGATAGCATGCCTGCCCATCCTTTACAGACCCTCATCTTCATGTAATATTTCACCATCTTCTGAAAGAGGGCTCCTTTTTTCTCCAAGGCATTTTTCTGATCAATATTATTTAGCATTTTACTTTTTAAAAAATGTTTTGGTTGAGTGTCTGTAATTGTTTTCTATTGCTATCTCAATTTATTTTAAAGAGGATGTTGAAATACAGGGGTATTGAAGTACATGCACAAATTCCTGACGAAGTCCAGATTAGCTCTTGTGTTTAGATGAGTCAGTAGTAAAACCAAGAAACACTAAAAGTGATTTTGCTTAGAGCTATAGGTGTTCAAATATAGATAGTAAAAAAAAAAAAATGTGTTCCATAACTGAAAGCAGCTTTCCTTGAGGAGAAATTTCTTGGGACTTTTAAGAGTATATTATATTCTCACAACATGGTAGACTTTGTTACAATTTTTGAGATTTATCCCTGAGAGGCATTTTAAAGGGACAAAGGTATATTTTTAGTCTCATTATTATTACATAGTCTTGATTAAAAAGGAACCTTTTAGAATTCAGCAACAATAAAAGAAATAGAAATAGAAAAGGTAGACACTCAAATTTTCTAAGTTCTGGATGTAATGTACAGCATGGTGACTATAGTTAACCATACTGTATTATATATTTAAAAGTTGCTGAGGGGAGTATATCTTAAATGTTCTCATCCCCAAAAAGAAATGGTAATTATGTGAAGTGATGGAGGTAATAATTTCACAATATATTAGTATATCAAATTAACACATTGTACACCTCAAACTTACACAATGTTATCTGTTAATCATATAAGGCCAGAAAAAAGTAAAAAAAAAAAATTATTTGAAGTGACAAAAAAGGTCAGATACCCAGTTCTTTTAGCAAGAATGTATTTAAGATTGAAAAAGTTTACCCGAAGCAACCCAGGTGTGCTGATTTTCTTCTTAGAAACCAGCTAAGCCTCTGAGATGGGTCAATGTGCTTTAGGCACTCAATTACCTTCTTCAAATGCGGCCATTTAAGCACAGGTCCAAGTGGACCGTCTTCCTGAGCCTTATCCTCTGACAGGAACTCGGCAGTGCAGGCGGTTCACAGAAGTGGCTGCTCTTGTGGGATTTGTGAGGAGTTACTCACAGAGCTTCAATGCTCACCTCAAATGACTCAAGCTCTCAGCCCAGGGGCAGGGGTGGGAGGGATGGGGTTTGAGCTGAAGCGACTGTCTTGTTTAAGAAAGTAAGAGATGTTTTTGTTTTTTCTTGGATTCCATAAATACACATTAAAATTTTTCATGTACCTTGAGTAGTTGCAACCTGAATGATATTTGGACTCCCTCAGGAGTAAACTTGGGTGATACACAGGTTTATAATTAATGTTTTTCAATATAATATAAACAATTTCTTCAATCAAATGGTTTTCCTTTTTCTTTTATAAAAGGAAAACAGTAAGTGAATACTCTGTCATTTCCTTTTATAGCAGAATCTGGCTTCACTAGACCTTTAAAAGAAATACTTAATGCTTTTTTTACTTTTAACTTTCACAGATTCTTACACAGCTGAGGAAGGAAATTTAGGGCATCTGGCTTACTGTCCTTCAATATCAAGGAAGAATCTCTGAAAATATTTGATTTGATTTTTATAGTTGAGCACTTAAGTTATTCTTATAAATATACCATCAAATTGGTAAGTTTACTACTACAAATCAAATCATATAATTATGCAGATAAACTATATGCAGTAAACTAACCAAGAAAATATGGTGTATAATATTGTTTAGTTTATCTAATACGTTGTAGATTAACATGAGCAAACATTTCTAAAACCACTAGATGGCATTCATTCACTGCAATTCTGGCCAAATACAGACTAAGGCTTTATCATGATTTTTCAGGGTTGGGGAAGGCAAATGTTATCCATTATTTGATATTATCACTTAACACAATGACAAAGCTCAATTTTATCTTTTCCTGTCTGCTTCAAATCAAATCAACAAATATTTATTGAAAGTTTTATTAAAGGATTCTTCCTTTGTGAGGAGAGTTGAAAACCATCTTCACTGTGGTGGTAATGTATTTACTTACAACATTTAGAAGAAAATACGCTATATACACTTATTTTCTTTCATTTTATTGCTTTATTAATTTGTGTTGCTATTTCTCATGTAGCTATTTTAGCTATTTTTTTAAGGTTTGAAAAAGCACACTGTCACAGGAATTAACTTTTCTGGTATTTTAGTTGGAATTAATCTTCAAAATTAATGTTTATCAAAATAAGAGGCCAAGAGCTGTTGATGATTCACAAAAGGTCCTATTTTGTGTCTTAAAAATGAGTGAGAACTTCTTCTCCTGACTGCTTTGAGACCTAAGAACCAAAATGGCCTCTGGTTATTAAGGACTATGACTTAGTCTTGGGGATAAATCATGGAGTGATAACTTCCAATATCCACACTTAAAACTAAGGATGTGAAAGAAGATATTGATGAGGACAAGTAAATCAAAGGTTAACATTTTTGTAGAAGATCTAGTTAATAATATAAAATCTAGAACTTACCTGTTCTAATATGTTTTGAAGCCTCTCTATCTCACAGTCTATTACAAATTTCTTCTCTTGTCTTCTATCAAGTTCTTCTAGAAGTTGCCTATAGCTGACATCATTAAAATTTTCCACACATATAGCACTGACATGCCAACCATTTTGTCCTGCTTTTTCCATAATAGCTTGAAGTATCGAGTATCCTAGTGGGGAAAAAAAATCAGAAGGGTTACTAAAAGCATGCTTTTACTCCCCCTTTAACATTTCTACATCAACATTTCTATGTTGCAAAATATACAACAAATGCTTAGATATTTAACTGAGTGGTTATTTACAAATCATTTGTTTTTACTTTGTTTAAGGCAACAACATCCATTAAAATACTGCTTGAATGTTATAACAACACTCTACCTTGAGTAAGCTCATAAAATCTCTCTATTGGAGAACATTAAGTTTCTCTAGACATAACCAATAACAAAATCCAGAACCACCTGTAGTCAGTCAACACCAATTTCATGAACTCTTTCTGTTAATTTTACTCACTAGACAGTGTGAATTTTGAACAACTGTTCCTACTCGTCCCTTGAGCAAAGCAGTAACATTTTTTGGTTCTACTATGGAAGTGCAGATGTCAAAGTGTCCAGGTAGGTAGGTCGCTAGACATAAGCAGGGAGAGGGAGGGGGATTCCGGCTGGATGCTTGCTCGCATTCTGTCCATTCCACGCAAGCTGCTGCAGTGGGATGTGGAGTGAGAATATTGATAATAGACTGGCTACAACTGGCTTGTTACAACATGGAGGAGAAATTAACCTAAGCTTCACCCCTAAACCATTAACATAGTAAAAATCACTGCCCCTCCACATTAGCATACTAGAAAAAAATCCCACCTCCCTGTGCACAACAGCCTTGATGGGGACCAACTATAGTCACAAATCCCTCCATTGGCTGAGGGTGGAGTAAACCCAAACTCCGGGAAGACTTGGCCTGTTCTCTTTGAAACCGAACCCGACTTAGTGAATATCACTTTCTTTTATGTAAAAAAGGCTCCCTATTGTCCTTTTGATGCAACCCCCTTTGGGTCTGCCCGCACCTCAACAATGAGAAATATGCAAAAGTGTACTATTGCCTTTTTCTATGATATTATTTTCCAAATAAACTCTTAAAGCTCAATGCGTCCGTTCTTGAATTCTTTCCCACAATGAGACCAAGGGCCCATCGGGTTACAGAAGAAACCACACAGTATAGAGGACCCTTATTGTAAATGGAGAAGGCATTATTTAACCCTTCTCCTCCAGGCAGGAGAAGGACGGGACCTGGGGATGAATTGAATGACCATTAGGTCATTAGGTGAGGCACTCAAACTCATAATCTAGTAGTGGAGACAGATATTCAAGTAAACAAATGCAATTTAGTTTAAAACAGTGTATTGACAGCTGCATTCAAGGTAAAGGGTTGGCCCAAGGGAAGGTTTGGCTAAATCTGCCTGTGTGAGACAAGGAAAAACACCCAAAAGGAGGAACAACTTGAATTGGGTCCTGCAGACTGAGAAGGTGCATCCAGGACTGCTGTAGGAGGAATGTTTATCAGTTGGTTTACTCCTGCCCGTAGGTTTATTCCAGCGAATACTCTTTATTCCAGACAGAACGGGATGGTCTCTACCCTGCTCTTGGTCCAGATCTCTCTGCATGTGGGAGGGGAGCTTCCAGTCTTGGTATCTGGGTTAAGGCAGAAGGAGCAAACTCGTGCACTCAGCACTTGGGAGTTCATGCCAACATTGCCTTGAAATCTTGATTGTTCCAGCCATCAGCTTTGAATTGGAATATAAGAGAGAGGGGAAGGATTTCTAGAATCTGAAAATAGCCCTTCCACAAGGGCTGGTTAGGATCATAGTCTGTCAGCCAGTTATTTTTTACCCCTGTGGCTTAGCATAAAACAATATGCCAGTCCCCTGAGCTCATTCTGGGGTAGCTGCCTATTGTTTCCTCCTCCCTTGGTCCCTGGAATTAGAGGGGAGAGCTGGGTGGATTAAAAGTGAAGATTTAAAAGCACATTTATTCAGTTTTCTGATTGGCATGTGAATCTCTCAAATTCAATGTATGTCTTTTATAAGTCAGAGTTTCAAACATTATGAATGCTCAGTAAAAATCAACAGATGGAAGTTATGATGGAATCATATTTGAAATATAAATTACCTGATATCCTGCCAAATGAAATACTGTGGCAGTCAGGATTCATTTTTATCTAAACGAAGAAAAGAATTTCCCAAACAGGATGAAAAAGAGCATGCTAATTACTATATAATTATTCCGGTATATCTATTGCTCCATTTAGTCTTCCCTTTTGTAATGTATGCCTGCAATTATCTTTTCAAATCTTACCTGGATTCCCCCCAGGTCCCCACCCCAAATCCAGTACTCTTTCTCTTGATTTCTGTTCAGTGCGTGTGTAACAGGACGGCCTGAGTTCTGTCTTAACGTACACATTCATGCCTCATTTATCCTGTTACTGAGTCTTGTTCTCTAATAATAAGGCCAGTAAGTGAGACAATGTTCCTTTTATTCATTTTTGACACCTATGAACATGTTCTTTTTAAAAATACCAATTAGCATGTAACTTTTCTCCTTTTACTTATTGTCATCCCAAGTAATTCAGATTTTTTTTGTTTGATTATTTGCATGTTGTAAAAATGATAAATATTAGCCACACGCACTGAAGAATTATTCCTGCTCCCTGGGATCAATGCACAGATTGGCACAGTTCTTCAGATACTGTCATTTTTTTTTTTGGCACGTGGTTATCAGGCTTATGTCAGCACGAGGCATCCAGATTGTTATTTTCCTGCCTACAGGACTTTTACAGAATGTAAAGCCATATTCCTTCTGATGAAATTTATATATGTTCACAGTTGCCTAACAGATACCAAAGGATTCACACTAAAAAAACAAAATTATAATTCAAATTCAACATTTCAGCGTCTGACTTTTGGATTTACAAATGACACTAGATGTGAAATAAGACAACCCCTAGGACACAATCTTTGTTAAATGGCAAGGAAGTTTGGTTGCCTAAAATGAACCATTAATCATAGTAAAAAATAAATGGCATATTTTCAATGCAGAGCAAAGGACATGCAGGTAGTTTCAGAGCCCGGTTGAAAACGTGAATTCTTTTTTAAGCTGTGCTTGATTTTAATATGCTGTCTTATTCATAGCTACTCAGATATGTGTGTCTTATTTATTGGCCAATATTGTTGGGAATATATTGTAACTTGGAGAAAATACTGCTGTTGAATATATGATTATATAACGTAGCTGTTATATAAACTAGAAAATCACAAGTCAAGTCATACTAATTGTACATCTGGCTGTGATTTGTAACTCCTAGTTATTAGAAAATATGCAATGCAATATTGTTGTCCAGAAAATGAATACTGCAGTTTTAGGTGAATAGTACAAGATTAATGGAGAATTCACTACTACAAAGGATCTTTTAAGTCTTGCTTTTACTTAAAAAACTGTATAACATTTTAATTCAGTCTAATTTATTGAAAACCTACTCTATCCAATATTAACTTTTGCCAAAATAAATAGAGGCATAATTCTTGTTTCCACAAAGAATTAACTGTCTAGCAAAACTGATGCTAGGTCACTAACCATTATGCAAATTATACAGTATTGTATAAATAACGTCAAGAGAAGCAACATAATTTTATTAGAATAGTAGTAAAAGCATGCCATGGGCAAGATCACATGATTGGGTCATAATAATATCGAGGGCATTTTCACAGTTATTACAGAACTATTAGTTATACATACAAATATTTAAAAAATATTATGTCATATAATGACATCAGTTATGTTAACAGAATCATAGTGATGGAAGCATTCTTGAACTATTAAATCCTTGCACAGCAACACTTTTCTTATCACCTGTGGCTAATGAGCTATGTTGGATGAGTACTATCATCCAGAGACGTGGCTGCTAGCAACACAAGCTGGGCTTACTTATTTGATGTTCTAGAGTTATTTGATTCAACACTCTGTACACAGAGATGCAGCAGGAGAATCAGGAGAGATTTATGTCAAGATAGATACAATTTCAAAAAGAAGGGAGTTATCCATTTGCCATAAAAACTTCACTTAGATAAGGATAGAAAAGTGCCCTTAGCAGTTTTTAATTAGATGTGCTCAACAGAAACAGCATCGATGGAATGCTGGATGTAGACATCAGACTTCAGAGGGAGAAAGTAAGGAGACAATGAGAAGTGAGAATGTAGAAATCATCAAAGAATATCATCAGGATTATGAAGTAATGAGATGAAGGATACAATATTATGATGAAGAGGGGATGGAGAAACATCTAGGTCGTGGGAACTGCCTGGGAAGGAGAGGACTGTGTCTGTCTCACAGGGAGTTGTGGAACTTAAAAAAGATAAGTGACAAGGAGAGAAAGCAGCAGTGTGTACTTACTTAAATTAAAGCCTTTCTCATTAATCTTGTAAATTGCTATGCAGGTACCCACTACTACAGCATCCATTTCTCTGGCTTGGCACAATTACTTGCATCCCAAACTAGTGTATTTGAAAAGGAAGGTATATGTATTTGGAAATGTACTTCATGCTGCATATTCACCCCAGTCTTTGAGAGGAATAAGGTTCTGTAATCCTCCCTGCATTTAATGCCACCATGCTGGAACTGTGAAGCAGAGTTAGTAACCATTTAGTCTGGACTCTTTGCAAAGCAGCTTAGGTACTGAAATAACATGTTCAAAGGCTACAGTCTGGACTCCAAGTTGTCAGCACACAGAAGGAGTAACCAGTATTGTAGCTTGGTTATAATCATCTGGGGCTGTGACTGTTGCATCTGTTTATGCCAAAGTTCAAAAAGGGCACAGTGAAAATAAGATTTTCCAGCTTATTCAGTTTGAAGCCCTACATGTAAACCTGAGATTAAATGCAATGCCTTGAGTTTTCTCTTTTCTACAATTAAGAGAAAAAGCAAATCCACAGTCATTTTGGGCTCTTGATTTTCCCAAAGACCTCTCGTATTTTCTGACAATAACATTTATTGCCTCCTAACCCTCACACTGCAGTGTTCAGACTTAATTCAGGTGACACACAACAGGGGAATTTGAGAACTTAAATCTTCAAAGTTCTTCTCTCAGTTGCAACTGAATCTAATTCTTTTTAATACAGACATATGGC